GCAGAGAGCTTTTTGTATTGATCATTACCTCTCCACAAACTCACCATCCCTGACATTTCGTAAGTTCTGCGCACAGCATGGAGAGAATGCTTAAAAAGTGACCTCAATACCTTTGGCATCATGAGTAGAGAAGTTCGGTCAGTTTGGATCTATAGCGAATCAGAACTAAAGAGTTCTTTAAAAAATGACCACTATAGGTCAAACACGCACCATGCGCAGCCCTTTAAACGTCACCAGAGTGCAGATTTCAGTAGCCGAGTCCCATGAGACATCTGTTCGTAGATGATCTGCAGCTAGGACTTTCCTACACATCAATAGTCTGCACGACTATACCATGTTCATCTTAGCTAGACGGAGATGACTTGGATCAGAACATGGCAATGTGTTCCTGATTCCTTGATTGTCTTGTAAAGAGGGATCATTTCCTAGATGGCAATTAGTTTAGTGCAAAGCCCATTTTCACCCTGCGGGATATGTTAACTCAAAAAAATGTTGTCTATTGGGCACCCCACTCTATTGTCTCTAGAAGCCACTTCTTAGTGGACATGTACAGTGTATGTAGCTTTAAAAATTCATGGTTTAGCAGGTCCTTGTGTTAGGGCGCCACTGAAGATTTCGAACAACGCGTTGAAAATGTGTCGAGTCCAAAGGAGGGAATGTGGAGCACTGCTTCTAGGAATTTCAGAATGAAATATTAGGTTTTAAAACTCTGTAAAAGAAATTAAATATTGTTTGATTGTCACTGGGATGGAAAATTAATGTCAAAGAGAAAATAAAGGAAAAGGTCAACTAATCTTTTCACGACTTCCTTTACAAGATTTTGAAACATTAGTGAACTTTGTGTTTTTGGGTGCTTTTTTCTTTTAGCCGTTTCTGTTTTCAAAACATTTTTTTTCTCTGTGGATTTTATATCAAACAAATTCCTTTTGAATTAATTATGTCTGTTCCAAATTACAGCATTCTAGAACAATTTTTGCACGAGATATTTAGAAAAAAAGTTGTAAAGTTTTTTTTTTGATCACCCTGTACGTGAAGAGCACAGGGGGAAAAGGACAGCAGTCACAAACTGGGAATTGTGAGGGTGTCAATTTTAAAAGCTTGTGAACTCATACCTTCACATTTGTTTGACTGATGGTTTATTATTTAGTTTTGTTGAATGGGAAATCTGACGACGATAATCAACCAACAGTTGAACAGAAATACAGTTATGAGTCAACAAGTGTTCGAAATTGGCACTCTCCCAATTTTCAGTTTGGGACTACTGCTGTTTTTCCCCTGCAGTCTTCTCATATATATTTACTAGCTGGGCCCCTTTTCGATGAAAGGAATGATCGGTGCTTTCATATCAACTAAAAGCCATTAGCCTACTATATTTACACTCTACTCTACTGGAATGGGGAAATAAATCTTGAGAGATGCAAAAAATCAGGTCTAGATCTATACTCTCAAAACAAAATGCACCTCGCGAAATACATGTATCACTTCCGGATTTTCTAAAATTACAGAGACAGAAGCGTCGGCCCACAAAAGCAATTAGCGAAATAAAGAATTTTAGCTTTTTGCAGCAAAACTGTCTCAAAACTTAAAAAACCAAGGGCGTCATGATCTGGAGAATATTTTAAAGAATTTTTAGGCGAAAACCACATGTCGATCGATGCAGCCATTAAAAAGCCTTTTGAATAGCAAAATTTGGCCACCACAAATAGATAATAGAAGTAGAACCTAATCTAGCCTGTCACATGGAAATAGTTGTACAGATAATTGGGATCCCAAACATTTCTTTGAAAGATTGTCACATTGTGTCTAGTCTTATGACGGGATGTTTATCTCAGGAAACAAGCGGAAAAACTTTTCAAAATAATCTCTATTCGTGGGTGGTTGGCGGGTGCTCTGGTGTGGCTTGCTTCTTCTTTCCTATCAAATATCTATCGTCCTTATCTCCCCTTCTTCTGCGAGCGCCGTAAAACCTCCACTAAAACTACTATAACTAAACTAATCTCTTTTCTTCTCTGCTTTGTCTATAGCTGTGCAAACAAGGGAAGAACAAAGAGCATGAGGCGGAGAAGAAGAAGGAACAGGAGGCGTTGGAGAAGAAAATAGGTCTCCTCACTTACCTGGGACAGACGGCACTGGATGAGAAGGGTAAGTCGTGGCAAGGTGTGACAAGGTGTGGTAAGGTGTGACAAGTTTGCTTTTTTTTTTTGTTCTAAGAAATTAAAGCTTATTCGTGCAGATACAGTCAAACCTGCCCTGACGACCACCTCTATAAGGTGGCCACCTGTACAAACGGCCACTTTCCATTCCCCCTTGCGTTTTTTTCCATATAATTTAACAGTGTAAAACGGGCACCTGTCCAACGTGGCCGCGGCCACCATATTTTAACACACAACCCCTATCACACTAAGCAATAACACCTGTCTTAGACGGCCACCTTAGTGACTCCTGGCCCCTGGTGTTGTGGGCGAGCCGTCTTAATTCAACCCCTTGTCGTTGTTTGGTAGTACCTCCAACCAACCTATCATGTTGTGTAGGCCCCTCCCACTGTTGACCAATAGGTAACAAATTTTCAGCTGCTGGTGAGGTAAGCGTGTGATCCCTCATAACCGAAAGCCCCACCCACACTCGTACACAAATCGAAAGTGAGATGAGTGGTCACTGTTTACCCAGTCTGTACCAAAGTAACAATGGACGTCAACATGAACTTGTGACAGAAGCGTCTCTCATTCTCCAAGTGGTGGCGACACGTGTGTTTGTTTTACCATAGCGCTCGGTCCTCCTTGTTTCGACACATTTCGTTTTATTGTCACCCTTGCACAAAAGCAGGAACAAAATTTGGTTAAAAGAAGAAGAAAAAAACCCCAGCGAAGCAACAACAACAGCGATGCAGCGACCTCAGAAAGGAAGGGTTTGTTTTCTTCATCTTGACTTGATCTGTCCTGCCTAAGACGGCCACTTTTCTCCTTGACAGTGGGTGGCCGTCTTACACAGGTTCGACTGTATTTGTTGAAGTATATTTTTCAGAGGTGAGGGCAAAATTGAGGGCAGGCGAGGCAGGGGTAGGCCCAGAACAACATACTTAGAGAACCTAAACAAATGGGTAACAGGGAAAGATCAGGGAAACGTAGCTTTTTTGAGAGCATCCAAGCAGAGGAATGAATGGAAAACCATGATCGCCGATGTCTGTCGCAGATCTGGCACTGGATGATGATGATAGTTTTAAGTCCTCTGTATCAACTCTTTTGCTCCAAATGTTTTGTTGCTTACTCTCTCTCGTATACACAAACACAGAGCAAAATTTAAATCACAATCTGCGACCCTTTGTAAATGGTTTTCATCACATTTGGAACCTGAGATTTAAAAAAAAATTTTTGTGCGCTTATCTTTTTTTGAGTCAAGGCTTGCCAACTGCCTGAATTTCCCGGGACTGTCCTGTACTGGGCAGTCGGGTATTTGAGAGCCATTGACATACGCTACACCAAATCTCATCCCACCTGATGTAATTGTGCTCGTTGTTATGGAATCTGATGTCTATGGTTGTGTTTTGAAAAAAACTGGCAAGCCTGTGAGTCACAAATGGCGCACTTTCATATACTCAACAGGGGTTTTTCGTCTTTGATTCAGTCTAATGAATACAAAGTGTTTAATTACTGGTGACCAGTCCAAGTTTAAAGCGATAACTTTCATTCTGTGGATGTTGGTGATCAGTTGTTTAGCAATGCCAATCGAGCTTCCGCGCACAGCGGAAATTTGGTCCCTGTTTGCGGGTGAATTTTGGGACCGGGTCAGAACGTTAGTGACTAAATTTCTCGAGCTCGTTCTGCGCTACTTCTGGACCAATGTGATTGAAACTTTGCGACCAATCAGAGAATAGGGCAAACTAATGATATGTGGAAGTCGAAGTTTACGCATAAATTAACCTATGCTTTTGGTGTCGGAAACTTTTTCGTATCGGGTACTCCGAAAACTATGAGGAACTTGATATTCGACGCCAAGAAGGTAAGAGATCTATCTTTCTTCTATGGTGTGCTCAAATTTAAACCTTCTGTGTCAGGTAGTTGTGCAGAATTTATTATAAATGTACCACTACCCCCATGTCCAAAACGGCTTCGCACGGAGACCGGCCATTTTCCCCTCACTCCCTCGGACCTACAAATCCCCGCATGACTATTCCAACACCGTTCATTGGTCACTTGAAATAGGGCAATGGCGGGTGCGCGCATCCAGTTGTTTTTCTCTTTGTTCCTCTGTAACATCGCAATGGGGGTATTCCGAGGTGAGATTATCTTGCCTCAGGGTGTTCGCGTCTCAACAGGAAAAAAAGGGGTTTTAATTGAACGGCATGCTAGATTGAATTAAATTATGTTTTATGGTTGGCATGGTGTAAAGTCATCAAAGAAAGCTTTGCCATTATTTAGTCACGCAGCCAACATATTCTTAAAGATCCCATGTTGTGATACGATGCTATAAATAAAATGCTCTCATCCCGACACCCCTTTTTCGCAAAATTGAAATATGTGCACCAAAATTTTAATTATAACAAAATAACTACGAAATGGGTAGTAAATCTGACTGCAGAAATGATTTCTGCACCCAAAACCACATCAGGTAGCCAAGTTTCTTTCTAACACTCCCATTAATTACTGAAATATCGTCTATGTTTTCTTACAGAAACTGCTACTGCGTGGTCCACTTTTAGGAGTATTTTCCTATATGTGGGTCATCCATATTTTGCCGACCTTTACAACCCCATAATACTTTTATTTATGAACCGATTCTTAAAATTTAAAAAAGCCCGATTCTTAGAATGGAAAACTCTTTCTTAGGTACCAAATAAAAGAAAAGGCTAAAGCGAAAATTAAAATTTTTATTGGCATTGCTAACTCGGTGAATATCAGTATGCACCCTTTGTGGGATGCACTTCAAGTGAGAAAATGTTGAATTCATGAAAGACTACAATATTTTGCACAATTTTAAAGGGCTCAAAGGGTGTATTTGTCTTATTTTATTTATACGCCAAACCAGTGTGAATGATTATCACAGTTGCTGTATGTTTGTGTGTGTTTCAGAAGCACCTCCGTGGTACATGAAAAAGTCTCACAAGAAGAAGAAAAAAAGGAAAAGCGAATCGGAGTCTGAGGAAGAAGAGGAAGACAAGGAAAAGAAGCTGAAGTATGTAGACTTGTGTCGTTGTCCTTCCTTTTTCATTGCTTATGATGATTGGTTCGTGTTGTTAGTTTGCTTTGATGAAGGAATACATGTTGTGACTGACCCTTTTGCTTTGTTGTCATGGACAAAGAAAATTGTGAGGCAGCGTGGTGGAATCAGGCTCTCGTCAAAATAATCAAAGTGAAGAAACTTGCATTTTTCCGCAGGTTTGTGAATTTTTATCAGATTTTTGTTTTTTGGGCTCAACACCTTTCATGCCCATTAAAGAACTCATTTCTGTGTGGACTTTTCTGAAAAAAGTCGATTAATTGCCCAAAATATGTAAATGTTCAGTTACCATGGACTATAAAGCTAAGGAAATAACTAATCTTTGGCAGCCATTTTCTCACTAATTTTACCTCTGAAAACAGGTGACCCCCACATCCTTCATTCTCAAATATCTCGACTTGTATTTAAGATAAACAGATATTTTTTTCATCCAAATAAAGGCAAGTGAACAAGCTTTAAGATTATACCAATAACTCTATGTGCCCCAAAATTGACGAGAGCCTGATTCCACCACGCTGCCTCACAGTTGTGTTTTTATCCCATGCAGCATGTCATCTGTATACAGACAGACAATCTGTGTGTGTGGGGGGGGGGGGTGTTCAGTGGAAGTTAGTCCCTACGGAAAAAATAATCAGTGTTTGAGAACAGGAAGCTCCAGAATTGGGTTAGATCTAAGGCAAAGTCCAAATGTTGAATGTGTAGATAGTGAAAACAGACTTTAAACATATCAAAAGGGCAGACTTTCAAAGTTAACCCAATTTTCTAAACCCGCGTGTCTTTGGGTGCAAAACTTGTCCAAATCTGCGTCCTGAATGAGTTAAAGATCTGTCAGATGATGCTCATGCTGCGTAGTAAGTGATTGCAGTCAGCGTTCTATAGACTGGCACTGTTGTGTAGCTGTTATTGTTTGTTTTGTAAAGTGTTTTACGGAGCTCGCAACTGCATAAGGTCATATAAGCGCGCGGGACACACCTAATATTTTCAGTTTGTAGGAAATTTTGAATTTTGCCCGGGTGGCGGCCAAAACCTACTCTTATAGATTTTAGACCACCAAGGGATCTTTAACGTGTGCAACTTGCACACGGGCCCTCCGAGATTTTTCGCCCTTGTCCGAGAAGGCAAGGTGTAGATCTTTCCTACCAGAAGATCAAGGGTGTGGCAGAAGGACAGCAGTAAGGAGGAGCCAAGGAGTAGTAGTAGAAAGTCTGCAGAAAGAATCAGGAGCCCAGAGGAGGGGGCAAAGGAGGTGACGGGGTGGGGGCAGAAAGTGGAAATGAAAGCAGACAACAGAACATTGCTAGAGAGCAGGACAGGAGGAGGAAGAAGACAATTTTAGAGAAGAATATTTTTCGGTCGCTACCCGGATTCGAACCCGGGACCTTTGAATGAGAGGCCAACACCTTAACGTCTAGGCCACGAGAGCCCCCTTGTGTAGCTGTTAGGCACTTCACTGTGGCACGTGGGAAACCTGAGTGGGGAGGACTTTTATCAAGTATCTCAGACTCAAGAGTCTTTCTGCTGGGATGTTTCCTTGTGTTTCTCTGCGGGTTGGTCCTGACAGGCAAGGTCGGATGTTCACCTCCTAAATTATCAGAATTGTGTTGTTGGTGCCGTAAAAACACCTACATTTGGTTGATTTGATTTTTTTAAAAAAATTTAGTACTCTAATTTTTTTTTTTTTTTAGTTTTAAAGTATTTCACTTGAGCTATTGTATTTATTTCCTTGCTTTGCTGTGTGTCATACCCTTCGGGCAGTGCTACTGACTGAAGTGTCTCTAGGCCATTCCCAAAGGGAGGATATTAACATGTTCTTCTACTCAGTACAATTGTAAATGGGCTGATTCACCAATGTCATGCTCATAACTGTGCCTGAACTGCATGCAGGGAACTGCTGCTTTCTCTTTCCTAATCTTTGCCTTCATCATTTTTTCTCTACTTCTTTTGTATGTTTGTCACTCTATTGTGAACTGCTATTTCCGGAGTGCCTTGATAGTCAAAGCAGACTTTGTGCTGTTGAAGCTATAGATGTGAGCGAAGTAAGTCTGATTCCCTGTTTGGAATTTTCTGTTGACATCCACCCCTTGGTGCTCATATGACCATATGCAGTTACAAGCGCCGTAACACCTTACTAAAACGAACTAAAAGTTCTAAAATATTTCACTTGAGATATTATTATATTTTTTCCCTTGCTTTGTTGTGTGTCAGGCTGGCCTTGGAAGAGCATCGGCGGCGGTCGCTGGACCCGCTGCTGGAGATGAGAGAGATTATGAGCAAGAGCAAGAAAAAACACAAGGTTGGTGAATCTTTTTGATGGCTTGTCGTTTCCTGGTCTCCCGTAGAAAGTGTCTTTGCTGGCTGGCTGGCTTTTGTTCTCCTCTTGGAATTAATTGTTTCATGACATGGTGGAATCAGGTGCTCGTCAGTTTTTGGGGTTGGTGGTATAATCTTAAAGCTAGTTCATTTGTTTCGCTTTTGATTTTAAAAAAAAACTTATCTTAATTGAATAGTAGTCGAGATTTTTACGTTTGAAGGAGGCGGGTGGTGCCTTTTGTTGAGGTAAAGTGAGTGAAAACATGGCCGCCAAAGTTTGGTGACTTCCAAAGTGATAAGTTATTTATTTCTCAACTCTTTTCAGACGTATCGCCATTATATCGGCGCAAGTCCACACCCCATGTGGATGTATCGCCGATATTTCGGTTGTGATAGGACGCCTAAGTATTGTTTCGTTTTAACGCAATCCGTTGTTTATAATTACTTTGTATTGCTATTTTAAAAACTCGGAAAGGATTTAGGAAACGAAAACATCAAGTTTCACTTTGTCAAAGCGTGGGTTTGGGGAAAAATGAGTAAATTAGTTCTTCCGGTCTTGCATCAACAAAACGATGTAACTGGACTCAGTGTGAATTTCATAGCTCAAACAAATATTGGAATATTGCTTTCAAATAAAAAGCTGCACTTTCAGAAATTTATGGATTATGCTGATTTGCTTTCATATGTTTGGTGCATATAATTTTTTCCGTAAAAATTTTTTTTTCTCATCACCATTTTTAACCCTTCTAACACATTCTTATGTTCAAAGTTAATCCTTGTTTCATGTTGGGATTTATTTTTCGTTCAATTTCCTTCAATTTGAAATATTATATTTTACGTTTGGAGTGATGGTTATGCTTCTATGAAGTTATTTTGTCCACCACCTGCATAGCCAAATCGAGCCACAAGTTATTTATGTCTAGACCCAATAAAAACTACGTCCGGAAAGAGTTTAGGTTTGGGAGGGGGAATGCCAGGCGCTCTTTTTCTAAATTGAGTACTTGAGGTCTTTTTGGGTGTTTTTTGTTTCTGGATAGCTGCATAGCTCTTTCGGTGGTCATGAAGGTAATGTTTGTTCCATTGCGTTCCAGAAACACAACAGCAATGTTTGTTCCATCACCTTCCAGAAACACAACAGCAATGTTTGTTCCATCACCTTCCAGAAACACAACAGCAATGTTTGTTCCATTAACTTCCAGAAACACAAGACCAAGGAGAGAGGCAAAGATCACAGAAGCCGCTCCTTCCCCTCCAAGTCCAGCAGTTCGAAACGGTCGTCATCACCGGTTAGAACAGGAGCCTCCCAGGTTGCGTCATCATCGTCGTCGTCGTCGTCCAAGAAAACTATCGAGCAGCTGAGGGCAGAGCGGATGGCCAGAGAGAGGCAGGAGAAGGCTCGCGCCCAGGTTCTGGTAAATAAGCACAAAGACGGGGGAGATAAAGGCTCGAAGGAGAAGGAAGAATCTTCGAGCGACAGTGAAGACGAGAGGGAGAAAGGACAGTCGGGGAAAAGGAGGTACAATTCTCAGTACAATCCTGAGTTTATTTCATCACAGCCAAGAAAAAGGCGGAGAAATGCTTTGCACTGAATTGTTTACGAAAATGGGCTGTTTTCAGTAGAACTTAAAGATTTTTCTATTTTGGGGGGGAGGGGGGGTTATAATGACACCCTTTTATATATATACTTCATTTGCACGCGCACACTCACACTCACACACACACACGTTATATTCAGTAGTGCAGGGTATCAAAATAAGCATGACAAACAAGCGAAATAAAAATATACAATATTCAAAAACGTGTTACACTGTTTAAAAACGAAACCATGTCTACATTGGCTGGCTGCAAAGATCCCCTTCTAGCCGAGATGAGCTCACCCGCTTTCGAAAAGAGCCTCTCGCTGGGGACTGACATGCCTGGAATCGCAAGAATGTCTTTAGCGATGCGATTGAGCCTTGGTTTCGAAATCGCGTTCTCTCTGCACCAAGTCAGGGGGTTGGAGTCCCGTGGCATTGTGTCACCTTCCAAGTAGCCGTGGATTTCCATCTCTACTTCTGCAACTCTGGGCACAGCAGCCTGTTTGCCTTTCACCCGTTGGTCAAACTGTGTCCAGAGCTTCGACACTTTCTTAGCAGGTGGTGGAGCTGTTGCTTCTTCCTCGCTTGCTGTTGTTTGAAATGTTTGTCCTGGTGGCTGTGGCAGCGCAATGGGCATGGCGGTGTCCATTAGTTTGTCCACAGCAGAGTTGGATGATGCTGTTGTCCTTTAGTTTATCCACAGCAGTTGGATGATGCTGTTGTCCTTTAGTTAGTCCACAGCAGAGTTGGATGATGCTGTTGTCCTTTAGTTTATCCACAGCAGTTGGATGATGCTGTTGTCCTTTAGTTAGTCCACAGCAGAGTTGGATGATGCTGTTGTCTTTTAGTTAGTCCACAGCACAGTTAGATGATGCTGTTGTCCTTTAGTTAGTTCACAGCAGAGTAAGATGGTGCTGTTGTCCTTTAGTTAGTCCACATCAGAGTTAGATGATGCTGTTGTTGGGAAACCGTCCCGCTAGAACGTGGGGTCAAACAATCAGGGTGTCCAGCAAAGTCAAAAAATCGTAAATTCGGCGCCCTGGTCGTAAATGGTAGTAAATTTGCCTTGAAGGTAGTAAAAATTTGGTAAACGGTCGTAAATTAGCCTGCATACTGAGTGATGAAGCCAG